CATCTCAAGACGAGGTAGTTAACATATCAGACGAGGTAGTTAACATCTCAGACGAGGTAGTTAACATCTCAGACGAGGTAGTTAACATCTCAAGACGAGGTAGTCAACATCTCAGACGAGGTAGTTAACATCTCAGACGAGGTAGTTAACATCTCGAGACGAGGTAGTTAACATCTCGAGACGAGGTAGTTAACATCTCGAGACGAGGTAGTTAACATCTCAAGACGAGGTAGTTAACGTCTCAAGACGAGGTAGTTAACATCTCAGACGAGGTAGTTAACATCTCAGACGGGGTAGTTAACATCTCAAGACGAGGTAGTTAACATCTCAGACGAGGTAGTTAACATCTCAGGCGAGGTAGTTAACATCTCAGACGAGGTAGTTAACATCTCAGACGAGGTAGTTAACATCTCAGACGGGGTAGTTAACATCTCAAGACGAGGTAGTTAACATCTCAGACGAGGTAGTTAGCATCTCAGACGGGGTAGTTAACATCTCAGACGGGGTAGTTAACATCTCAAGACGAGGTAGTTAACATCTCAGACGAGGTAGTTAACATCTCAGACGAGGTAGTTAACATCTCAGACGGGGTAGTTAACATCTCAAGACGAGGTAGTTAACATATCAGACGAGGTAGTTAACATCTCAGACGAGGTAGTTAACATCTCAGACGAGGTAGTTAACATCTCAAGACGAGGTAGTCAACATCTCAGACGAGGTAGTTAACATCTCAGACGAGGTAGTTAACATCTCAGACGAGGTAGTTAACATCTCGAGACGAGGTAGTTAACATCTCGAGACGAGGTAGTTAACGTCTCGAGACGAGGTAGTTAACGTCTCAAGACGAGGTAGTTAACATCTCAAGACGAGGTAGTTAACATCTCAGACGAGGTAGTTAACATCTCAGACGAGGTAGTTAACATCTCAGACGAGGTAGTTAACATCTCAGACGAGGTAGTTAACGTCTCAAGACGAGGTAATTAACATCTCAAGACGAGGTAGTTAACATCTCAGATGTTAACTGCTATAGCCCTATGGGCTATCAACTAGAACGCGATGTTTCCCGCCCGAGCGTATTTACACGCCTTCCAAGTCCACGCGAACGTCCCTAACTTGCGCGTGTCCTCCGCTCGGCGGAACGTTCCTCTTGCGGTCTCGAGATGTAATTCCAAACGTACAAGCAGCATTCGCGTTTCTCCGTGCACTCCCCTGAGCTTTTGTTTTGTGTTGACTGTTACGGTCCGAAAATTTTAAAACAATCCTTCAGCTTAAATCAAGCGTTCGAAATACACGTACACGCAGCTGCCTACCAGCGCGGCGAGCTTCACACCATAATTATAACGCAACACCTGCTGGTGTCAAAGAACGTCGTTTAAACACAGGTTAACGTCATTTTTAAACAAAATGACAACAGTTTATAACAATTAAAAAAACAGGCCCAAACAGGACCTCGTCCCTCGCCTAGCGCCAAATCGCGGTTCGCTTCCGCCACACCCCGTGGCCAAACAAGGCCGCACCGATGCCTGCCCCGGGGCGTCACCAGGTGGAGGGGGGGGGAAGAGGAAATAGCTTCACCTGTGGCGATCAAATCGTGGCGGAAGGCAGAGGCGACGGCCTAGGTGCGAGCTGCGCGACGGTTGAGGCTAAAGTGTTGAGTTTAAATTAAATCTGCGCAAGCTTTCGCTTCCGCTCCTGGCGCGATGAGACAGCTGATCGGTCATGTGTCACGAGGAGCGGATTGGGTTATTGGTGATCACGTGGCACGGTTCCTCACCCCCCCCTCACCTTTCCACCCCCCCCTCACCCCTCCACCACCCCCCCCTCACCCCTCCACCACCCCCCCCCTCACCCCTCCACCACCCCCCCCCCTCACCCCTCCACCACCCCCCTCACCCCTCCACCCCCCCCTCACCCCTTCACCACCCCCCCCTCACCCCTCCACCACCCCCCCCCTCACCCCTCCACCCCCCCCCTCACCCCTCCACCCCCCCCCTCACCCCTCCACCACCCCCCCTCACCCCTCCACCACCCCCCCTAACCCCTCCACCACCCCCCCTCACCCCTCCACCACCCCCCCCCCTCACCCCTCCACCACCCCCCCCTCACCCCTCCACCACCCCCCCTCACCCCTCCACCACCCCCCCTCACCCCTCCACCACCCCCCCCTAACCCCTCCACCACCCCCCCTCACCCCTCCACCACCCCATACAAAACAGCTGCCCACGTGTTCAACACGTCGGCAGGGTGGCATGCAACACACTCACTATCGGCGACGTTTCGGGGAATGGTCCTTCTTTACTTACAGCACACAGGTCCAGACTGTGTTGCGACATCCCACAGACCGTGTAAGCACATCGTGAACGGACGGCCCCAATCGGATCATTCAACGGCGATCTGAACTAAAACCCACGCGGCTGCTACTCCCAAAGCAATCGAATGGGGGGGGGGGATATCAAATATCGACATCGATTTGGAACCCGTTGCAATTCCCAAAAATTCCACACGCAAGCAGAAGACGATAGCAAATCGGGATGCCTACCGTTCTCGTCTCTCTGTGCCGTGAAGAAGAGCCATTGGACGAAGCGCCTACTTTTATATATTTTAAAGTCACAGTGTTATTGAATAATGTACAGTACGTATTGCGCTTTTTGTCGTTATTTTTGCTTGTGTGCCAAATGCCAACGGAGCATCACCGGATATGTTACGCCTTTAAAAAAACCATTTAGGTGAAGTATACTCTTTGGTTCTATTGGGTAAAGTCACGTAGGTGAAAATTAAATAACAAAAAATCACGACGTTTCGGCCACAACACAAGCGGCCTTCATCAGGTGAAGGGACGAGACTGTCTGGAGGACAGCGCTGATCTAGAATTTAGGTGAAGTTTTGGGAAATTACCCTTATTAAAAGCACCCATTTAAATATGTACTTCCAGCAAGTACGCACTCTCAGAAGGCAGTGTGGAGAGACAGAGTACATGCGGCAGATATATGCGTATATGCAGATGTATGCGTATTTATTTTGGTACACACTCGCGCCTCCCCGGTGCAGATGTTCACACTCGGCACTTATTTAAAACCGAGTCGACCTTGGAGGCGCTCAGCTTCAAGCCAGATTGCAGTACGGTACTACGATCCACCCGATGTTGGCTGTGGTTCGGTAATCGAACCCAGTTCGCTGGTATCGTAACGCTCTGCGCTAACCACCGCGCCACCGCTGCCCAAACACGACAGAAATACCTAAAGCAACACACAACGATGAATGTCCCCCGGTATGGCCTTCAACAGACTGTTGGGGCAAGTCCTGTCCTGTTAGTGGAGCATCGGCACACCCCCTGGTGTGCCGTGCCGACCGAGCACCAGGTACTCATTTGAGGCTGAGTCGACCTCGGGGAGGCCCAGGACCGGCTCAGATAATCGTCACTTGGTGTTGGCCGTGAGCGCACTCACCGCCGCTCCCTGCCTGCCTGGTCGTGTCCAAAAACACCTGCCCTCCATTCGGCACTAAGCCACCACGGCCCTCGTGCCAGGCTAGGTGCACTTTACGGCCACGTTGTGTGCAAAAGGCTGTCTGGGCAGGAGGCTACGGGACAACCCCCAGGGTGTTACGAGTCGACTGAAATGACTCGACAGGTGCGCCGTCTGTGCTCTCACCTGTGGCTGCGATTTAGCCACTCGGCGCTCCGTCTTGTTACCCAGGTGTTCACATTTTATGTCTCAATGTAATTGCAATCATTTATATCGCTATGCTTCTCGTGCGCTTTTCAGTTTTCGCTCCATTACCTTCGTCAATGACCATGTTTCTGAACCATGTCATGGCGGGTAGGACATAGTGATTACTAGATGCTCTCAAACAACATGTATATACAACCATTCGTGTTTCTCGTGACAAAATCGCCAGAAAGGTGCCTCTGAATGCGCCGTATCCTCAGAGGCTAAGCAGGATTGGCCTGGATAGTGCTCCGATGGGTAAACATCACGCGCGACAGGTTGTTGTTACCAGTTGTGCTCCATGCTGAGCAGCAGAGGGCAGTGCAATAACAGTAGCGAGAACCGCATTTCCTAATCCCCGCCCCTTCATTAACCCTTAAGTATTGACCAGTGTGGTGAAGTATGGTCAGATACGTCCCGTAATTTGAAGAGGCAGTTATCCTGCAATGGGCTGACAAAGATGATTTATATGAGTTTAAAATAAGTTGTTTTAATCCCATGGCAGCCACAATAAGTAAAATTCGAATACAATTTAACGATACAAATTTATGTTATTTATTTAATGGATTCATTGAATATGTAATATTACATTACAGTTTAGTGGTGCAATGGTTAGCACACTGCATTATGAAACTGGTGATGTGATGTTTAATTCCCGGCCATGGCTAGCACGAGTGGTGAAGTGATATCTGAACTGAACAGGTTCTGGATTTCCCATGACAATATGCTGAAAGCACTGGATTTTTTTTTAAAGACAACAAAAATAGCTGATTTGTGACCCAATCTTTTTGGGTACACCTTTGGAATGTGCATCTCGACTGCACCTTTTTGGTTGCACAAGCCAGGGCTACTTCAGCCCGGTCTCATGATTCCGGTCACAGGACATGAGGCAATATCCTCATAGCCCCTGGGATTCCATGAAGTGGCTCCAAAAGTAATTCCTTAAATATAGGGATATGAACACAAACATGAGACTACATTTAAGACCTTAAACCATCTACTTTCCCTTCTTCATCACATTGGTGACCCAGCCGTTATTCATTCGCTGTGCGATGGCCTTATTTTATTATAAAAAGTCTCATTTGTGCATGCTCCAACGGTCTATATGTGTCTGTGCACGGGTATGTGGGGAACAGTGGCGCAGTGGTTAGCGTGCCGCAACATGAAACGAGCGACTTGATTCAGTTCTCAGCCGCAGCTAGCGCGACTTGAGAGTGGTGGCGGTGCTTATCCTGGACCTTCCCCATGTCGACTTCGCATTAAAATAGCACCTCAAGAGCTCAGTCCGACAACTTAAGGCCCGACGATTCCTGCAGCTCGTTTATTCCAGCAGCAGGCATATGTACAGTGCAGGGTGTTGCGAACTTAACAAACAAAACGTTAATCAAAAAATAACCGGATACAGCGATGCAGACCGTGGAATTCCGGTCCATGAAATGTTGCGTGACGAGTTATAAATTAGCATCTTGATCATCCCAGATTCTTTATTTGACGAGGGCGCTGAACTTAAAACGGCAGCCAAATTACTCAATTTGGCATTCGTGACAGTGAATGCTTCCGTGACTAAACCAGGGTTTGTATTAGACTACAAGTGATGAAGGCAAACAGATCGTAACAGGTGTAAAACAAAGACTTAAGGAAAGCTCAAGACACGAGTCGAAAGCAGGCTTAAGGAGACTTCAATTCACGAGAGATTGAAATCAGTCGTAAGTGAACGTGCAGCAAAACCAAAATCGCTCTTGTAGATATGTACCTAAGTTAATGATAGATATACATTATTTAAAAAAAAATATGTTCCTGCGTGCCTCCAGAGCACTTGAGTGGCATCAAAATGCCATCATCATCCCCATGTGTTTTAACGCTTCCATGCAGTGACATCACTCAGGCGTGCTATGGCAGCACGCGTGGCCGTAACTTTGAAGTCGATTTTCTCATAAACGAATCCTCACTCGTGTCTGACAATCAGGGCCACCAAGCCTAGGAAATCATACACAAGCACTACCCATATTTTAGGGTGGAGTCTTCTTTTGAGAAACCAATTCCGAGACGATGAAGCAAAGGTTTCGCGAGGATGCATTTCTTAGACTGGCCTAGCGTTATCCACCGACTTAGCCTGGTGTAAACTCGAATTGGTGCGACAGAATATGGGATGACCAAGAGCTTTACAATTTTTGGCCTTCGGCCTCTACGCAGCGCGACTCGCCACGACGTGCATTTTGGCAAGCTCGCGGTGGCTCACACCACCGCCGTACTCTCAAAACCCAACGGCGCGCACGCGAGGAGATGACGCATGGATGAACCACACCTCGCCCGCTCGAGCTGTCATCCACCTCCTGGGGAACCCGTGAGTTTGGTAATCCAGTCTCCGGTTCGATAAAAAAATCGTGCAACTCCTCGACCGGGACGCCAGTGATGGGCGTTACCGCCGATGGCAGAGACTCCACGATGCAAGAGTGATAATTCATATGGTTGTGCGACGCTGGAACGTTACGCTGGGCGTGAATTGCCGGCCAAAAGTTTGGTGGCCTTGCCCGGCTTGTGAAGGAGTGTCTTTCCGTTTCACCTCTTTCTGTTCAACTCTTTCCTTTCCCCCTATTTTTGTTCACGAAAATATAAGCAGAACTGCATTCTGTCTCCATATTATGCTTGTTTACCCAGGAGAGCCTCAACTATGGCTCACGACAATTTTTTCAGGACAGTCTTGCCAAGTTTTCTCAGTGACAAGACAATGATTGCTATAATCCCAAGTGAGGTGTAATTTTTTAAACTTGGGTCACAACGCTGGCACAGAATGGCATACTCTAGCGAATGACGTCACAGAGATCTTTATAACGTCCACTTCGAGGCAGTATATTTACGGTGAATGCACACCGCAGAAATAACCAAGACGGCCAAAGCATTCGAACTGTGAACCCCTGCAACGAGAGGTGAACATACTAACGGGAAGCCATGTCACCGGCCTTTAATAAATATACATAAATAAATCGGTCCAGCGTTTATTTGCTTGAATACATTTTGCTTGATATTGGTCTCGGGAGCCAATTGGCTTAATGATTTCAAAAAAGATTTTTTATTTATATGTGGAAACAGAACGGATTTCTGCTTATGTTTGCTTTTACCCATAATTTTTCACAACAACGCACAGTGGAGTTTGTGAGCGATCTCTCCATTGCCGCTGCTTCCGTTCACCTCTGAAGCTAACCACAGGGACTGTGAATGAACAAGGCACGGGTTGACTCACATACACCGATAAATAGCGTGTCCGCTTGCGAGACTTCGCAAGCGCAAAGAGAGAATTTAACAACACTAATATGCACTTGTGGTAAAATAAACGGCATGCATTAAACATTAATAAAATATCGTTTGGCAGGCAGTATCAATAAATACTGAATTATTCTTTTTAGCTTTAAAGAAAAGAAAATAATACTTTTTGTAATTAAATATTATGACTCGGCTGTCAGCGCAAAGCGCAATGCATACTTTGAGAGCCTTTTGTGATCTTCAAGTCATCGCAAATGTAAGTACAACAGACATCATCACTTATAAACGGGTGAAAAAGTCTGAGATTCAGGTGAGAACATCTGGGCTCTCATAGTTGGTGAACCCATTTTATGGCAACTTTGCTTTTTTCCCCCCATTTGGGAGATCAGAGCGATTTAAAAACAATAAAGATAAACAGTATGGCAGCTGTAGCACGTACACATATGCCAAGGGAGGAACCACCAAGTGTCTGTGTGTGTAAATACAGCAAAAATACGTTTGGGATGAGAATGGATGAGCTATCGAGGTTTCCTTTTGGTTCTGTCAAAACCAAAACGAGGAGAAGTCCCTCCCTGTGCACAACAGCAAGGGATGAGTGCTATGACACGGCAGCGAGCTTTACAGCAACCATCGACTTGTCGACTTCACCAAAAACTTGACCGCTAGCTAAAGCGCCAACATCGTACGACCGAAACTCCACTTTTACAATAACCAGCACTCAACCACCTGTAGAATGTGGGGCAGGGCATCTGTAGAATGGAGGGAGAGGGGTATGTGGAATAAAAACGTCCACTTCAGCTCACGAGGCCATGTCAATGACGCGTGTAACATTTTGAGTCTCCCGGTGGGCCAACTTAGCCCCTTGCTCTTCCCAGCAGCACGAGTGGCCCTGTGACGGTGAGCAACAGTGTCCAGCAAACACCATGGCTCGACAGTTGCAAAGTACGGCCACCGAAAGGCCCGTGAGAGGGTGGTCTTTAGCACGAAGTAACTGACGTGTGGACACTGCAAATAGTACGTCCCTAACCCAAGTGGCATGCGGTACTGTGTATAACCCTAACACAACTCAAGTGTAATGCTATGTACAGTCCTAACCCCAACCCACTGACATGTGATAGTGTGTAGCCCTAACCCCAACCCGTCTGACACGTGATACTGTGTAGAGCCCTAACTCAAACCCAACTGAGGAGTAATGCTGTGCAGAACCCTATAACCAAGTCACATTATGTTGGGCACATCCCTAACCCTAACCCAACCGGCATATAATGCAGTGCAGAGCCCTAGCCCAAATGACATTTGATCCAGTTTATAGACTGAACTCAACTGATGTCTAATATTGTTTGAAGACTCAATGAACTGGACACTGCATGTGCTGTATAGCTGTAACCTCTCTCACGTGATGCTGCGTACAGCCCTTGCTATATCCCACTTGACTTTTGACGATGCTTACAGCCATGACCCAACAGACATGTGATGTGGAGCGTACTGTAGTTCCAACCTTAACCCAACTGAAGTGTAATCCTGCATATAGCCCTAACCCAATTACCTGTGACCTTGTGTGTATCTCAAATCCAATTTCATGTGATACTACACATAATCCTAACCCAACTTGCCCGTGACGCTGATGTACAGACCTAACCCTCACTCACTGATACAAGATGCTGCGTACACCATTAACCCTACCTCTCAGCCGATCGCTGCCAGATTGTCTCTGCTAGCCGTTATTTTGCATCCCTACACCGTGGCCGCGTGGGGCGGGGGGGGCGGGACAAGAAGGGAGCGGGCTGCCGGCAGAAGCGTGGCGCTCAAAAGAAACGTCAAGCGCTCAGACGGCGAGAAAACAAAACCAAGTAAAACTGTTACATTTTGGCGCGCGAGCTATATTAACGGATTATCGTTTTCTGTAAACGGCGGTGTTGGCAGGTTGCCGCGTCCCAAATCGTCAAAGCCGTCGCTCTCCAGAAACCGCAGAGAAGCGGACCTTCAACCGTCCTCACCATGACCAAGCATGCAACGATCCACCGACTCGACGGTTAAAATCGATTCGCGTGCTCAAGACGCACGCATTGAATCGTTTGTGTGAGAATCGACTATTTGCAACTGTCAGAAAACTGTCATGCGAATTCTACGTTCAGGTACACGGAGTGAATGGAGCAGTAACAAATGTGATGGGGAAAAAAGAAGAAATACAAACAAGACGGTAAAAATGGAAACAAAAAAAACCGGATTGGTTCTTGAATGGAATTAATACCCCGAATCGTGATATTTATCAAAGTGCCAGGTGTGGTGGTGAATCGTTCCATGCTTAGCTATTACCCTGACTCATAAGCGCTCTGAATCAACGCTTATTCGCACAAAACACGAATCGCTTTGTTCATCGCAGCAACAACCATCACGGCAGCCCTTCTAAAAAAACCCTGTTTCTCACTCCCTTCACCCAAGACAAAGGCGCAGTCCAGCCATCGTCTTTCAGCAAAAAAAAATAAACAACGCTCGTGACTGCGGTGGTGGTGGTGACAATGACGATGGTGGCGAGGATGAAACACCATCTGTAAACGCAGATGGCAACCGTGAGCCATTACGCGGGCGTAGCAAGTGCCGACAGTTACGCGGTGAAGGCGTCACGAGAAGGAGGTTGGTGGTGGTGGTGGTGGCGGCGGCGGCCGTCCTCGGCCGCTCAGTAGCAGCCTTCGTTCCACGAGTCGTCTCTAAAAGTGCTGTAGGTTTTGGGGGGCTGCAGGGATCTGCGGGGGGTGAGGGGCGGGAGAAATGAGAGACGCGGGAGAGAGGCGGCGATGAGACGGAAAAACTGCGCGCAAAACGCTACTCGCCTGCCTGCTAACACCGCACCACCCACGAGTGCTGAAATTGCATTAATCAATTATATATAAATATTTGCGATGAATCGGCAGCCTTTTTAAAGGGGAGACGCCAGCTATCCTATCTGGAAACTCACCGCAGTGCACAGCAAGCATTACGCGATGATGAAAAACGATGTCATAAACTTAACGATGACAATAATGACGACATAATTTACAGCCCTTGTCATTCCAGTGCAGGATGAAGGCCCTTCCTTTGTTATGTCAGTTATGGGGGCTGTTTGACCATATTTCATCACAATGGTAAGCATGGATTGGTGAAGCGGGGTCCTAGGACCAGGTCAGATGTCACTCACCACTGATGTTAAGCTTGGCCGGGAATCGATATGGTTTGCCAGGTTCACAATGCAGTACACCCACTGCTCCGCCACAACTCTGACCCGATGGCATCATTAATCTCGTTAAATGCAGTGCTAGAAGGTATTTTGAGCTTCGCGTATGGAAATTGCTTACGCAAATTACACGCAAGCTACATGCCGAATGTCATTCGATTAATATATTCTAACTATCAACAGACTAATCGACTATTCCCGACAGTGAACAGCCGCAAAGTTCCCGCACGCACAGCCACTCGCCCGTCACGCGGACGATACCTGCGTACAGGCTGCGCCAGCCTGCTCCGGGATGCACCGCTTCCCGGCGCACCGAGCCGCGGCAGCCCGCTCCTTACGGCCGCACCGGTGCCAGGGCCCGCCGGCGCCGGCCGAGCCAGCCCGGGTCCCGCGCCGGTTCCCAGCGCCGAGGGAGAGCAGCCGGAGGCCGAAGAGGAGGACGGGGAAGAAGCGGCGGCGCCGGAGGCGGACATGGAGCCGGGGCTTTGCCGTCCTGCGATGGGGATACCGCTGGCCCCACCGGGGCTGTGCCTGCCGGTCGTCGGCACGAGCCTTCCTGTGCCGGCGGCCGGGGTGCTGGACTGCCGTCCCGGCGCCGGCACGGAGAAGGCGAGCGAGCCGTACGACGGCGGTGTTGACAGCCGACTGGCACCAGGGAGAGTGGCACCGGCGGTGGGGAAGGAGACGGAGGGGGTTGGGAGCGTGCCGGATGATCCAAGTGACGTGGGCGGTTTGAGCTGCCGTGCCATCGGACTCACGGGGATGCCGCAGCCAGATGGCGGGCGCAGTCGGCTCGAGGATGAAGCTGCGGGGGTGGGACGAGAGGCAACTGGCTCAGTTCGACCGTCCCTCAGAATTTGCCACAGGCGATTGTAAAATACAGTGTAAATATTGTCTTGAAAATAGTTTTCAAATTAAAGCGGTATTTTACTGTTTGAATCACGATATTTTCGTACCAGTTACGATGTGAAGTTATTTCAATGGCCTCTTTTTCTGCACAAGGGCCAGATATTTTATATACGTTCCAAAATAATGTTTTGTCGCACATCCATCAAACAACAACATTAAATTCTTCGAGATAACAAATGCAAAATTTGGTTATACAAAACTAATTTCACTTAAACGTTTTAGCAAATGGCCTAACACGGCCAACAAACTACACTTGAGAATCCAGTTTAATCGCGCATGCCTAAAACCTGGATTCAAACCCTGGACTTCGGGCTGCGTCACCGCACCAGTGCCACGCTCACCGCCTTGCGGTTGCCGCAGCCCGGACGGACGCAGGGAGGCCACCGCTCCCGGAAGTTGCAGGTTCGACTCGAGGCTACGGCTGCTGCGGACGCCCAGGGCCGTGCTGTCGATGGCCGTGGAGCCAGCGGAGGGCGGGCGGAACAGGTTGGGTAAGCTCCCTCTCATCCTCTCTGGGGGCCGCGCGCACACAGCCCAACGGACACACGAAGTTACTAAGCGTCAATTATCAGAAGAATCAGAATCAGCAGTTTGTGTCCCTAGTAAAGCCCAGGGAGCTAGGAAGCTCTTTTTTAAGGGCGACTCGGCATGGCAGACAGCAACCCATTCCGCAATTACAGATTTAAAAAACGAAGGTGATAGCAATTGTGTTGTAAGATTACAAAATCATCATCAGCACTTTCCATCATCACAGATTTCAGCATCATAACAACATCTACCCTGATAATCACAAACATTTTGATCATCATCCATCATCTTCACAGTAACTGTCACCATCATTTACAGTTATTTTCACCACCACCCTAACCATCACAATCATCATCACCGTCATTATTACTATTACATCATCATGATCACTATTTCCTAAACATGATTATTCTCATCGCCAGTAACTATCATCATTATAATACAAATTCTCATGAATTAGTCATCATTGTCATTGTCTTCATTTACAATACCATCCTGCAGTATTTTTATTACAAATGTGAAGCATTATTTGTTATTCTCATTTATCAATATCCTCGTCATAAACATGTTTATTATCATTTACCAACAAGTGGAGTAGCTATCGAGTGCACAGGTGCTTCAAATGTACCGGAGCAAACGGACTTGAGGAGCCAAGGTCTGAGGCTACAAAGAGGAGGGGACATTAGACAGGGGAGGGCCCCATTTCATTCCACACAGCAGGGCCCATTGCCAACCATGCTACACCACTATTGCTGTCACCACCATCATCATCATCTGTATATTTTATGGCAAACTGTGAAATGACAAATCTCAACAATACCACAAAAGGTAGTAAAAACTGCCCAAGGTAAGAAATAACAAAACCAAATGCAAGCAACCGAAACCACTCGATTGCCGAATTGGCCTTTGAGCGAGCGAACGAGCAATCGAGCATGCTTGCACCACGATCCCTCACCATCATCGTGCGCCTGCCGGTGCTGCACCAGCTCCAGCACCGGCGCGTGCTGACCGGGCAGCGAAAGCTTCGCCGCGCCGCGCTGCCCGTACGCTCCCGCAAACGCCGACAGCTGCGCCAGCTGAGCCAGCTGCACCAGCTGCGCCGACTGCGGCGCCGCCGCTCCCGCCGGTGACGCCCTCCCGCCGGACTCGGTGGGGCAAGGTGATCGCGAGCGCGGCGACGCCACACGCCGCTGCTGCCGTTGCTGCTGCTGCTGCCGTTGCTGCTGCTGTTGCCGGACAGCGGGAGACGGTGCCAGGCGGCGCGCGAGGAGCTCGCGCGACGCCGCCGCCATCGGACGCGACAAGCGGCGGTCCCGGTGCGAGACGACGTAGCCCTCGTCCTCTTCCTCCTCCTCATCGTCGCCTTCCTCCACTTCGTCGTCGCCGGCGGCATACTCGCCATCGTGCTCACCGGCGCCGTGCCGGGGCTCGTCGCGGTCCAGCTCCTGGTCGCTGGAGGCAAGGCTGTACCCGCGCAGCGACTGCGCCGACGACGCACCAGAGCTCCGGCGGGAGGCGCTAGCGGACGCCTCCTGGCGCAGGTCTGGGCGACGCGCAGGGGGGAAGGGGGCGAGGGTGGGCGCAGTCTGTGAGCGTCGTTTGTTGAGAGAATAGAGCAGGGAGAGCCCTGGGCCGGTTTCAACTTTCTTAGTCTCATCAGTAAGCAGAGTAAGGCCTGACCTGTGAGCAAAAATTTATTCCAGTAAACTCTTAGGATATTGAAGGCAACTATTCTGAATTATAATGATGTTGTAACGAGCAGTCTTTTCCTATCATCTGCAATTGATAGAATTTGCATAGCGTGAGTGACCTCAAGCCCCTTTCAGTCGCATAGATTGCACTGCTGCAACCCATGTGAGTGACCACGCAACACTGCCACGGATCACAAAAGCACAGTGAACATCCTCGGTCACGTGTTTTTCCTGTACCCATTCTGAAGGTCGTACATTGTCCATAGCTCAACATTAACACGATAGGTTCCCAGTTCCATCCGATCACAATGGTCCCTTTATTGTAAAAAAGTACACCTCAAGTGCTGCAACTGAATGGCTCATGGACAAACGACGTTTCTTATATGTACACGTACGGCCCTATTGTTGTCAATCCACTTGTGGATGATGACCTACCCAAGCCATGCAGGCCATAGGGGTTATTTGACCAGACTGGTAAACGTGGGTTTTTGAAGGCCGGGAGCATATATGTGGAAACATAGAAGCACAGTAGAGCAATGGATTTTTGTTGCTTCACTGCTCCCTGCTTTATACAACATATGTATGGCCCTGCAGCCGCCTATGTCAACCTGGCATGCATGCTCGTCACCCATCTAAGCACTATTCGCACCCAAACTTGCTTGTTTTCTGATATCTGATGTCAGGTGCATTCTCTTGGTAATTGGTGAAGTTTCTTATCGATAACGATTGTATTTGGTTTAACACGTAGGCTTTCGCGACCAATATTATTCATAATAAAGGTTTTTGGGTTAGATCGCGTTATTTATAAATGTTTAGTAACCCTCCACCACCCGACACGGTCAATCAGCAATAAAAGTGTCACATTGACAAAAGACAAATAGTTCACTACTTTAGCCCACTCGTGTGTTGAAGAGTGAATCCACAACATTTACAGTTTGAGTACGACGTTTCGCTGGTAATTACATCCAGCATCATCAGGCAATTAGCCAGAATGGTGAAGCCCTCCACTTGCTCCCGGTCTTAAATAGCAAAAGCCTTAAGAGAGCTCCGTTTAAATAAAGATATCCAAATCCTGGCAGCTGATAAAGGCCGCACTACTGTAGTGATGTCACGAGCCGATTATAATAAAAGTAGAAATTTACTAGAGGAAGGTACCTACATTAAAATTAAACGAGATCCAAACTAATACTTTAAATTCCATATATCTCAGGAGTAACTGACAAATTAGCCCGTGTTTTGCAAAAGCAAAACATTACAGTAAGATTTGATACAGTACACAAAATTCAAAAATTAGTATCTTGCACTAAAGATGAATGACCTAAATTATCAACAGGTGTATATCGGATTAATTGTTTATGCGGCATACGCTATATTGGACAGACAGGACGTAACATCAGCATAAGATTAAAAGAACACCAAAGAAATATTAAATTATCTCAAACACAACTGTCGGCAGTGGCAGAACATGCTTGTCAACAAGGACACTCAATTGATTTTGATAACGTTGAAGTGTTGTACAAAACTAATTATTACTGGCAAAGACTAATTAGAGAATCCATTGAAATTGAGAGAAATAGAAATAACTTTAATCGCTCTGACAGCTACAGGCTTAGTGCGGCTTGGAAGCGTATTATTAAAAAATACATATTACAATTCCTTATACGGGAAACACATACTAATTAACGGATTACTAATAACAATAACACACATTACAACTAATTACTAATCTACAACTCATTACTAATCATAACCATTGACTGATTACCAATCGATTATATAATTACACCCCCCCCTCCGCCTCAAATCACTGCACCTGAATGAGTTAAATGATGACCTCACCCTGCTGCTCTATTTAAGACCGGGAGCAAGTGGAGGGCTTTACCATTCTGGAGAATTGTCCGATGATGCTGGATGTAATTACCAGCGAAACGTCGTACTCAAACTGTAAATGTTGTGGATTCACTCTTCAACACACCGGTGGGCTAAAGTAGTGAACTAATTGTCTTTTGCCAACGCGACACTTTTTTTGCTGATTGGCCGTGTCGGGTGGTGGAGGGTTACGACACATTTATAAATAATGCGACCTAACCAAAAAAACTTTATTATGAACGATTGTATTTGCTGGCTGTTAAACAGACTCACGCCTATAGTTTAATTCATTATAATATCTACTACCTAGAATAATGGTAATATGTTTTTATCGAGCGCCTGACACGACGGGGCGTCCATGACCGCTTTACATCTCATCTCAAACATTGGAAGGGGCACCCCCAGTAGCAGCTGCCCCTGTGAAGCACACTCAGCACCTAGCCTACAAATGGACACAATCTACCAGTAGGGGTCGATGATTGCAAGGATGCATAATCCTCAGAGCTATTTTGTGGGTACGTTTTGAATTTGCCAAAATATGGACCGTGACGCCGGCACACAACGGCCAACTCTTGCGAACGGCGTCAGGGGATGAACTTTAACGTCCAATGCGAAGCGGACGGCGACGATGAAGAGGTATTATCACGGTTACTACGCCCGCAGTAACAATCAGGGCAGCCAATGGATTCGAACAACCATGAACGTCTGCAACAAGCGATGAAGGCGCTACCGCTGGGCCGTGGACATGTGAAAAAGAGCTGCATAGCTCATCGGATTCCATAGATAAACATATGAGCGCACGAGAACAGGGCGAGCCACTCACTCTCCTCCTGCATCCGTGCAAGGATCTGAACGTCCGTCACATCCTGAAGCTTGTAGGCACCCGCGCTGAAGTCGTCATCTCTGTCCCCGCCAACGCAGCCAATGATGTCGTCGTCGTCGCTCTCCGTTTCCATGGACTGCGAGAGCGACACGTAGACGGAGGGCTCGCTCACGCGGCTGCCCGGCTCGCTCACGCGGCTGCCCGGCACGCTGGGCTCGCTGTCGGCCGACGACGAGGGATGGGGAGAGAGGGGCGAGCAAGCGCCGCTGCCCCCGGCGGCGCCTAAGGGGAGGTGGTGGGGAGGGGGGGGCAGAAGAGATGCTCCGGTGTGATGGCGCCGTTGGCGGTCGCGACGTGCGCGGCGCAGCTCTGCGGTGACGAATTCGCGAACCCGCTTAGGGACGTCACGAATCACCCCCAGCGGGCGAGTTGAGGAGTTGCTCCGATTCAGAAGTGTGATTCGCGAGCAACAAAGATAGATTTACGTCGTCATTACAATTACATATAAAATAACGATTGTAGTTTATATTACAGCGCCAGTCACGCAAACTGCATCTCTGAAAGATGGAGCATCACAAATCACAAACATTAAAAACGGTACGAGGCACATCGCAGACACATAACACAAACCACATGGGGCGACAGCAAACACTTAAGCTCCTGACATGATTTGTATGATACATTTGTGTTATTTATTGTAAGTTGTGAGATGTTTGTACATTTCCTTTCACTCTTTTATCTTAAATGTTACATCCAATTAAATAATTATGTATTTGCCAGCGTGGCGATCGTCGCACCTCTAGCGGCTATCCGGGGCTTGTGCGAATTCATTGCGTGTGACGTGTCTATGAACCGTGATGAATAGAGTCTAACACGCAAAGTTAGACGCGTGCATAGCAAGCGCCAGAACTGATTTAAATGGACGAATCGGCGCACCATTACCCGCTATCATACAAGACGAGCACCGTTTGCTTTTTACGCTGCGTCTCATTCAGGTTGGAGGAGGGGAACCTTTTCCATACTTGGGGCCGAAAAGGACTTTCAAATAACATTTGGCAGGCGGCCACACGTTAACGCGCAGCTCAATCACTCTTCTCACCGCAAGTGGGCCTTGCAGTGCCAGGAGTGAGCACACAAACGTGAAATTGGAAACAGGGTATTGCCAGGTCGAAAATACTCCCCCCCCTCGAGCACCCGATTATCGTGGCTAAGATGCTTGCAGCGACAGATATATATTGCCGTCTAGTACCCGATGAGTGTTGTATGAGGCATGCAGTGACGGATAAAATATTGAACTCTAGTACCAGATTAGTGTGGATAAACATAATTTGCAGGCCGTTTCAAACTGCAGTAGGCCTTATGTGGCCCACAGGCCATAGGGGATGAACTTGTGTGGCCCGTGGGCCGCATGTTCTCCACCCCTACTCTCGGGCCGCCCGCTCTTGGCGTCCTGTCCGACACCTCGTGACCCGCGTGGCCCCCGGTCCGTACTGACCCGGGTACGGCGAGAACAACGACGGCATCGGGAAGGCGGTCGCCCGGCGCTCGTCGCTGTAGGAAACGGGGCTCCCGTACGGGCTTGCGATCGCCTGCTGCTGCTGCTGCTGTTGCCGGTGGCCCAAGAGGGTCAGGGACTCACGCGCGGCGCTAAGGCTGGTGGCAGCGCCGCTAAGGCTAGCGGCGGTAAGGCCGGCATAGCGCGGCGTGCCGTGGCAGGAGGCGCTCGCGTAAGGGTTGCAGACGAAGCTTCGGCGGTTGTTGGCTGAGGTGCGAGGAATGGGAAGAGAGGGAAAGAAAGCAAAGACGTTTGTTAGTGAGGGTGAGAAACAGCAACAGGATTGGGACGTGGGGGGAGGAGGGGGGAGAAAAGAGACAGTGATGGGCCGGGTGATGTTAATATTGTTACAGGAGTCGCCGTGGCAATTGGAAACATTCAGAGGAGACCTCTCGCCAACGTCCAAACACTGACCAAAGCAAGACGCGATGGATTGGAAGGCTGTGCAGAGAATTCGGCTCCAGTGTCCTCGTTACATAAACCACTGTTGTGTGTGCGCGCACGCGCGAGCACAGGGGGTGCTAAGCACATGGCTGCGCTCAATTTAAACAGCTTCGAAACGTGATCAAAGCCACCTGCAGGATATATTTATACAAAGGAAATTAAGATGAGCTCATGTATACACACACACTTAACGATCGCCCTTTCAGTTTTGATTAGACTGAGATAAATGCTGCCTGTGGTTTGCCCACTTGCGCTATGAACCCGTGTTTGATATCCAATATGTGATCCGGTACTAGATCTTTCCCCCCCAACCCGACCACCCTTTTCACCATGCTGCTCAGAGTGGGATGGTAACGGCAGGTAGCATGGGCGCATAATACAGTACAATAAAAGACGATGCTGCACTACTCACTTCTGCCCATAAGGTAGCCACAGCCTACGACACCAGTTTTTATACATGGTGCTTGCCCATCAAAGCACTATCCAGGTTCAAACCCGCTTAGCTTCCTATATCTGATAAGGACAGGTGCATTCTGGGTGATTTTGTCATCGGGTTCTCAACAAAGCATGTGCAAAAGGAGAGACTATTCATTTTTTTTCAGTTTAGAGGTCACAAGTGCTGTTGGCAAACACCTATTTTGGCCGACACTGCCGCACGTAGGGACAATGTGACCAGCCCACTGCATCTATAAAAATACACGGCGCACTGTAAGTTTGAGCAACGTAACTCTTTCCCACCACCACCCACCACCGCATTTGGCCTGTTTACAACTTCCCAGAGCGTTAACCAAAAAAACAAGAACCAAAACAACTGGGCGCTGGATACATAACTCGGCTGTGTGGCACATGTCAGAGGCTCTATGTCTGGCACATGGACCCGGACCCTGTGTCTTCCTTTCACAGAAGACACAACACAAAAACATCGAGCGCTGGCTCTCTGATATTAAACACGAGTAGGCAGTGCATCCTCTTCTCGTTGTGCCGCTGCCTTCATGAGGCAGAGAAGCTTGAAGGTCTTCACGAGTCAACTATTTTGTTTTATTTTACAAGGTAAGGTACACCGAGCTGTATAGCTCTTTTTCAGAAGCGACCTGGCCACAAATGATAGCTCAACGAAGTGGCTTAAAAGGTGGAATTTTATAGCAGCCAAGTATTCTAAACGCATGTCTAAATGTGGAGGGAAAAGCCGGAAGACCCGGAGAATAATCCATGCGACCACTGGGAGAACACGCAAACTCCAAATATACAGGCACCAGGGTTGGGATCGAACCCACGACTTCCTGTATACCATTCAAAGTAGTTAACATCTCGTCACCGCATCACTCAGAGATGTGAGAAACTCTACTGGATAGGGGCACCCGTACCAACAAGGTAATCTGCGGGAGGTGAGACAAAATGGTCCACTTCATTATTCCGCACTGACCAACGTGGCGAAGAATGACCATTCTACAGTCAGGGTAGCTTGGCACGAAGGCTGTACCATTCTGCGAGAGATCCAAACAAACTGTCCATCTCGTGATGTGACAGCAACAGGATAAGTGGCACAAAATAGTAGACAAAAGACAGACGTGTTTAAAAAAAAAAGACAAAAACGTAAGTTTTTGCAGTCAAGTATGCTTTGGGTCTTTCGGTAAAGTCATGTAGATAGGTTTAAAGAAAATAACAAAAATAACAAAAAACTACGACGTTTCGATCGCAACGCAAGCGGTCGTCATCAGGCTGAAAAAAGAGCCTGATGACGATCGCTTGCGTTGCGATCGAAGAATTGGTCTAGAGCAGGCCGGCCATGTGGCCAGATGACAAAAGTGTCATCCACGTACCTCTTCCATAAGGTTGGGCACAGAGTGGCAGTCTGGATGGCGTCAGACTCAAATTTCTCCATGAAAATGTTAGCTATAACCGGAGATAGGGAAGAGGTACGTGGATGACACTTTTGTCATCTGGCCACATGGCCGGCCTACTCTAAACCAATTCTTCGACCACATCAATTCCATACACCCAGCCATCAGATTTACCATGGAAGTCGAAAAAGATGGCAAGCTACCTTTTTTGGATGTCCTAATAAAAAAGAGATACCTGATGGTTCAATGAGCCACTCTGTCTACAGGGAAGCTACCCATACAGATGCTTATCTGAAACCGGATTCCCACCACCATCCATCACAGAAGAATTCTCTCATCAAGACTCTGTATCATAGATCCCAATGCATATCCGACCAGGAACACATAGGCAGTGAACTCAAGCACGTACACCAAGCTCTTAAGGCTAATGGTTACTCCGACTATACAATCCGCAAAGCTATCACTCAAACCATGAAGAAGGACCCTCTTGAGGAGCCTTTCAAAACCATCACTTTACCCTACATTGCGGGGATCACAAAAAAGATCTCCAAAATCTTGAATAAACACAAGATCCAGGTCTGTTTCAACACATTACATAAAATCCGTGATCTGGTTCCGTCTGTAAAAGATGTGATTCCGGACATACAGTACCCTGGTGTCTACAAACTAAGTTGCCTCTGGTAGTAGTTACATTGGAGAAACCAAACGCCATGTCTCGGACTGCATTCGTGAACACAAAGCAGACCTTAAACACGGTAGGACCAACACCTCGGCCGTGGCAGATCATTGTTATAATTCAGTAGGCTCACATGACATTGACTTTTCCAAGACAGAGGTTCTTTGTAAGCCATCTGGCTACCATGAGAGATTTGTTCATGAGGCTATCCACATATACAAGCACAGAGACAATTTCAACCGAGAAGATGGATTCTGGCTTAGCAATCATTGGAAAGATTTGATAAACCATTTCAGGTCTTAATTGATTGTTCACGCTTATGATGGCTTTCAGACAGCATGCATTAATTTTTCGTCTCCCCCCTCCTCTTTTCAGAATATAAATGGACTAGTCCTTCTAAATAAACTGCCAAATCGCTGCGCGTGGCGCTGACGTTTATTTTTATAAATAAATACACCGTTTTAAAAATAAATTAATTAATGCAAACCGACACACCTGATGACGACCGTTTGTGTTATGGTCGAAACGTCGTGAGAATTTTTATTGTTTTATATATATTTTATTATTTTATTGCTTCCCTTCAACGTGACTTTACCGAAAGAGCTAAGAATATGAATTACTGCAGTCACGAAAGCTTTACATCAAAATTCAAATTGTCTTCAGTTTACATGTTATTCTGAGACAGGCTAGTATAATCATGAATAATTATAATACATAATGCATGTTAATAATTGGCCCACATGAATTAGAATCGAATTACAATACATGAATTTGTAATGTTTAATAGTTTAAATATGATTTGTTGTTCCTGTGATGTTATACCTATTTAAAAAGCCGGGTCAAGTGACATGGCTATTCTAACTTCCTGGACTTTGTCCTGAAGATGCTGAGCACAGTCTCAAGTAAAACATCGTATCTAATGTCTACATTTAATTGTTAGAATTGTCCTTCAACTTACCGGTGAGCTGAAGCAATAATAATTTGCCGCGTTAAATGCTTATACACGTGACAATTTTATTTGGTTGGCTATGTCGGCAAGTGAAGCGTCTTACAATGAAAATTAGGGCAGATAATTAAGTGGCATAATCCTTAAATCAAATTACGAGTGAACATTTTTTTTTTAATTAAGCGCGACCAGAACCACAGGCGAGCGACTCGCCGACAAAAGCCGGCACCAGCCTTGCCACTGCTGACACACATGGCCACCGGACACCGTCACTCCCCTCTCCAAAGACATAGATTCCCCCCCCCCCCCCCCCATAGCCTTCACAGACTGTTGGAGGCAAGTGCTGTTAAGTGAGCACTCCCCGACACACGCACAGGCAGACACCGTCTCCTTTGACTGTCTACTCCAAGAACAGCTGCTGCACCCCTGCTCTGCTGGCTGATGATGAGTCACGTACACGGAACAAAGACACTCGAACAACTCGGGGGTCACAAGTCCGACAGCCATATGAGCAGCGGGCGCGATTTATTGACCTGAGCAAATGCATGATGGAGCGGGTGGGCAGCTCACTGGCGAGGCATGCTTTTTTTGTGAAGGAGCCGTTTGTTTTTATTCCGGGGGACAAAGCCGGGCGTGGTTGGCCAACTTATCTCCGATCCAGCGTTTCGGGGGAGGCAAGACTTGGCGGATCGCTCTGAGATTGGTGAAATTCCGCCATGGCCAGGGAGATGGGCAGCACAGCAAGTGGGATCGTGAATCCATCTGCATGGACTTCACAGGGTGGTGTCGTCGTCTCTCCCGCCCCCCCGGAACAAACTCTACTCAAAAACGGAAATAGTCAAACGTGCCCAATACGAGTGGAGAGAGTGTTTCGAGACTCGGTGAGTGAGGCTTTCCAGGATAAAATAAAGGCCCGTTATTTCCAAAGTATTACAACTCATGCGATATTCACAACAACACCAGCAGGGGGGCGGGGAGGGGAAGGATGTTGTCATGCCGACAGGATGAATTCCTTCCCAAAACGCACAAGGGTCAAGAGTCGCGGGAGGGATGAGCTCATTTGTTGTCTCGTGGGAGGGGGTGCGGCTGTGTGGTAGTTAGGGGAGGGAGGGTGGCGCATGGCCACGTTAACGATCCACCTCCCACCCCCCCACCCAGTTCAGGAATCGCTCTCTCGTCTCATTTGTAATGTCCCTCCGATTTTGCACTTCATGTTCTGTCTGCCCCGTGAGCACCGTCTCGTCTATTCCAATTCGTCTCGTCTCCCTGGTTGTATCTCCTTTAGAGCCTCTTTCTCATTTGTTTGGTCGGCTTCGTATTGTCTTTGTACTCTTCGGTCTGGATTATCATGCCTCTCATTCTGTCTCATCCTGTCCCGTGTATATGGTATTTCTCATATGTACTGTCTCATGTCTATGGTCTCAAATAGTAAATCGGTCTTTGTTGCAGTATTTCTCAATTGTACAGTACGTCTCATCTATGCTCTCTCGTCTTAACCATCAGTCTTGGATATTCTGTCTGTACTGCCTGTTACATCTGTACTGCCTTGTTTGTTCTAACTCAATCCGTCTGCTTTGCTATGTCTCGTTTATACTGTCTTTCTCATCACCGCTGGTCTGTCACATTCATTTTGCATCTTGTTTGTACCAACTTGTCCATACGGTCAATTGTACCTTCCTGCCTCATGTATTCGCCTCTTTTTACACTGTATGTCCGATTTGTACTGTATCTCATCTCTGCTGTCTCATCTGCACCATCTTGATTGTACCGCATCTCTCCTCTGCACCAAATATCACCAGCACCATCCGTATCTCAACTGGTGTCTACGGCATGTCTGTACTGCCATGTTACGACGGTTAATATCTCATTCACATCAATACTTGACATAAGAAATAATTATAATCGACGATTCGACAAATCCCAACGTGTCAAGTGGCCAGGAGTCGTTTACTCTGCCCTTCTGCCGGAGGAGCTCACGCATTCCTACCGCATCGCTTGGCACTGGCAGTGACACGGCACGGCAGCCAGAACACTCACAGCACCCACCCTCCCTACCCCCCATCGCCCTCCCTCCACAGCGAAGGAGCACAAAGTGTACCGCGGTGAGAAGGCAAAATTTAGCCCCATCGCCTCTCTGTGTTAAGCCCCATTCGTCAACGTGACTGCCAGGTCTGCCCCATTTCACTCGGATGTGTAATTAGCATCATGATGATAATTAACAGTTTCAGCCAATGTCCTTTTATTTGGCCAGTATTTTATCTGTTTGGCTATGACATTTTAGTCGTTAAGTAGAGGTGTGATATTGCAAGTTTTAGAGCGAATGTGTCACGTGGTGTTTTTTAAAAAGAAAACCATAAAACAAACAGCTCTTATCTTAACATGAGACACACAGTAACAACATTTACTTGTTCTGTAAATATTAGACCAATAAGAACAAGCGGTTGTAGAATCGAATCGTGATGGGTGAACAGTTACAAGCCTAAAAATATATATCAATGTTAAACCAGAAAAAAAAACATTTTTTTTTAAAGTGCCATGAGATGCGTGCAAGTGACCGGGCAACATTGGTGTTTAACACCATCAGTGGTGGTAGGCTGTCAAAATTCATGGGCTCTTAAATAACAGCACTTGGCAAACACACCACGAATCAGAAATGTGCCAGGTAAGACCAACTGAGCGATATAGCTATTTTTCCGAAGCGGCCTGGCCACAAATGATAGTTCAACAAAGTGGCTTATCATGTGGAAATTCAGAACAACAGCCAAATACTCTAAACGCATGTTTCTAAATGTGGAAGGGAAAAAAAACCGGTGGACCCGGAGAAAAATTCCACGCGAGACATGCAACCTCCAAATATACAGCAGGCATCGGGGTCCACATCGAGCCCACGACCTCCTGCACACCAGGTGAGGGAGATAACATCTCACCACCGTGGCTGCGAACCAGAAATAGGGAGAGGCGAGTGCGACCGAAGTAGGCAAGCGCGAGCGAGGCAGGCGAGACCGGCTGGGCCTCACCGAACATGGTGGCGTCGAGCCTCTGTGTGAGCGAGCGCTTGGCGGCCACCATCTGCGGACTCGGGTGGTCCAGGACTTGGCGACTCCACTGCAGCGGACTCAGGGAGGTGCTTCCGGCCTTCACGGGCGACGCGTACAGCCTGAGGCCCAGGCGGGCGGGTGGGTGACAACGAAGGAGGTACCAGCGTTGGGACAACCACGACATACATCGATTCATCATCAGCCATGGTCTACCCACACTCCTGGATGAAGGCCTCGCCATGCCGTTGCCATCCATCGTGGGCAACCCTGGGTCTTCATCACACTTCCGTGCATGATTTTCTCATGCACACAAGTCAACTTTAAAAAAAATATCCCATCTTTTCAAAATGTACAGTGCGATCTCCAAACACAAGTCAGATCATCTCTTTGCCCTCTCTCTCCCTGCTCTACAGAAGGGGCAATGCCTGAAACACTGCAATAATGTACAGCTCTTTATCAACCCACTGCCTTACCACTCCGTATTGGTCATGGAAATTGTTTAAACATACCTCAGTAAGTAAGAGGGACTTGAGGTTCAGGACCTGACATTAGCCGTGGTCAGGAATTCAACTCAGGATGCAGAATTCAGTGCGCAGTAAGTCTGCCACTGCATCATCAGAATATTTTTTCAGAATCAGAATATTTATCTATACTGGACAAATCCGATGAGCTATAAAGACCTTTTCATAGATTTTCAGTATTTTACAGATGTCCATAATCATGCTAACGTACACTGTATGTCACATTGCTCCTGTGCAGCGACGATGGGGCTATGGGCTATGTTGTATGTCGTGTGGCATTTCTCGTATTATATTTCCTACTAATTTTCAATGCAGTGCAACGTCACATATTTTGACTGGCTGGAAACTGAGGGATAGGCAGACATGCAAAAAAGGTCGGATTTGTGAACGGCTACAGAAAACAACACGGTTTTGTCATGCACGCAAATACTGGACTGGGTGGGGGTGATTAATTGATCGGTGCGGATACGCGACGATGTACCATACTGGCAACTTGATGATTTTGGTAAGAGGCGGCGTGTTCATGCCAAGTGCGCGATTCTGTGGAACGGTGCCAGCTGTGACCGCTTGTGGGGGTGACACGTAGACAACGCCGCGCATTCCGTCAACTCGTGTGCCTTTACCGAGACTTACAACCTACAGCTGTTAACAATGTGGGCATTAACCAGCTGGGGGATTTAAACGCCCTCTGTCGTCTCCGGTTTTTGTGAAAATAATTTATTGCTGACGATCTTCAGACTCCGGGTGCAGTTAAGGCTTTGGCGCTTAGCAACCGTATTTCCTTAAAAAAACAAAAATATACACGCAGGCCAGACTGAGTTGGAACTATGATTGAAGGAACGCAGGGCCTTGATAAAAAAAATGTGAGCAACATAAACTGACCAACGTCACGTAACTTTACATGTGTTAACTATGTAGATAAAATTAGTACTAATTTGTCAAGTAACCAGCGGTTATGCTTTGGATATACTAGTCTCTGCCCATAGCAATGTGGAATTTCCACTACAGAGCTAGCAAGGGAAGTGAGCAGATCTGCTTAGAATCACTTGAGAATGTTTTTTTCGTTTACACATTCGAATGTTTAGCTCTTTAGCTGTACTTATTTAAACACAAGGCCACATCCAATAATAGAATTCTGGTATAAATGGCCTCTTACTTTACTATAAATAAGTCATCCATCTATCGACAGATATTTATAACACTCACATACGCACACACACACATAAAAACAAAGGTACCCCATTGCCATATGGACCATTGGAGCAAGTGGTGTTAGCGAGCACATATTAAGGCCAGCCAGCATGGTGTCCGAGGTGCTGCACCAGTATCACCCCAATGCTGACGTTTACATGCCAGTTAGGGCCGAGCCGACCTATGGGAGGCACAAGGTCAGTTTATACATTCGCCACCCACGTTAGCCGCGGTGGCGAGATGTTAACTACCTCGCCGGTATACAGGAGTTAATGGGTTTGATACCGACTCCGATGCCTGTATATTTTAAGTTTGCATGTTCTCCCCGTGGTCGTGTGGATTTCTATCCGTGTCCTCTGGTTTTTCCCTCCACATTTAGAATCAATGTGTGTTTAGAGTATTTGGCTGCTATAAATTTCAACATAAGCCACTATTTTGAAAAAATAGTGGCTTATAGCTCAGGGAGCCTTACCTGGTTAAAACATGTTTTTAGTTTTTAAGTTTAGTTAGCCGTGGCCGAATTAAACTTAGGTTACCGGGTTCCAACACGTGAAGAGAAACGTTGGATGTAATGCCGAACAACACGCGGTACAACCCGTAAACAATATCCGACAGCCAATGTGGTATGACCGCGAAAAGCTCAGTATTCGTAACACGTCAGCTTGACTTTAAATAAAAATCACAATTACCACGGTCTTGTAAACTTGTCATCGCGGAGGAATTTAAATAAGCGTAAGATGCCACCGTGCAACCTTCTCAGCCGCGATGTTGTGGGTAATCACACAGTCGAAGAACGCATGGAAATACACGCATGGACACGCTAACTATGCAAGGTGAATTACAGCCTCTGTTTAGCAGGAGGGGGCGGAGGAAAATTCTGCGTAAGTGATCATCTGACCATCGCATGCGTTAGCGCACTATGACACGGAACACTCTGCAGCAGCCAAATCTCCTGCCTCCTGAGTCTGCACAATATCCACTGCTGGTTTGCCCAACATAGATTTACAAAATATCACGCATGGACTAGGTTGATTGTTACATCGAGGGACCATGAGGGATGGTGACAGCTGTGGGAGGCCTTCATCCAGCAGTGCATTGACCATGGCTGATGATGAGGGCAATTAGGTTATTGCCCAGTTAAAATAAAAAAAACATAATTTTCAGTCTTTTGCCAATCCACTGCTGGATGAAAGCCTTCCCGTGCCGTGCGAGTCATCGAGTTGTTTTACGATACTTCACTATGATGGTCAGTGTAGAACCGGTTTGAATATCACTCGCCACTGCTGTTAGCCGTGGTAAGGAAATTAACTCAGCGAATCAGGTTCTAACGCAGCGCGAAAATAATTGCGCAAACCGCCTCCCGCATAATTTGATTATATAGGTTTGCTAAATTATACTTATTTTTTATGTCAATCCACTGCTGAATGAAGGCCTCCCCATGCCATGTTGGTCGTGGGGATTGTTGGACCATGCTTCACCACGCTGGTTCGTGTGGCTTGGTACAGTGTGCCAGGACTGGCTCAGATATTGCTGTCCACTGAGGTTATCCTTGGCAAGGAAATGAACTCGAGAGACCGAGTGCGTACAACAGCGTGCTAAACATTCCACCTATGCTTTGACGCAACGCTACAACCGATATTTCGTGAAATTCACTCGTTTCACAATGCCAGGAATGAAGAGAAGAGGTTCACAATCTTTTATCTGAAACATTTAAATGGATAAATACCGATCAATTTACATGCATTGAAAGCAAGCAGTTTTTTATAACTTCAATATAACAATGTGTTTGATGTAACCTGCTTAAAGCTCGTGCAATGTCGACTCAACAAGCACCAACATAACATAAAAATTGTTCCCAATGGAAGGAATGACAACAACCCTCCTGCCAACAACTCTTCAAAGCCCTTATAAAACGTTGTAAATTGTACTGTACAAGATAGTAATCTTTACTCCACTTCTGACACGTTGCAGCAATCAAGGATGTGTCAAATAATCGATTAAAATCCATTGTTATATTCTCATTTTGGACATGTAGAGAAAACTGTACCAAATGTGACGGGATTTTTTTTTTTTACAAAAAAGCTGTTGACTAGAATAATGACCCTGTCACCCAAGTAATTCGTTTATTGCATCAACGTGGTTGGAGTGGAGGGGGTAAAGTGCAACATGCCCATCAACGACCTGACATGGCATTTCCCCTTGCTACTGTAATGTAAAACCAGCATGAACTAAAAGAAGTTCCACCTAAGACGTATGTATGAATGTTGAACTTCTCTTTCGCACCGTACATAGCCAACCGAAATAATCGGAGGTGTGAGGTATGGACAACAAACTAAACAGAAAAAAGCGGTTCTAAAGAAATGAATTTTCAACGCAGATTTAGAAGCGCATAGCTCCCGTGGCTTCTTAATAAAACCGGTAGAGCATTCCAGATGGCCCAAGAAGCGCACCTGAAAGAGCACGATGCAGTGACCATCTTTGTTTTATATAAATGGCCACTTGTCTGATTTTGCATCCTTCTCACCAGCTGGAGCACATGTGACCTTTCCTTACCGATCAAAGTGATCCTTATGTCGGTACCACGGGGTACCAAATAATACAAAATGGCCGAGCCAATTAAATATTTTATTTCTGGGACACTGTTTTTTTCCAGGGGTGTACTTAACTCCGCGACTGGGCTAGCAATCAATCCGAAATCAGTGCTACTCCGCGGTGTCGAAACGCAGCGAGGACGATTGTGCTGAAACCCTGAACACTCGTATTCACCATAGTGGTGCGTAGTGTACAGCTCGTCGAGATGAGTCGATTACCGCATCGCCGACCATCAACAAGATAAAAATTACTGCATCTCGGACATTATGCGAGAGCCGGGGTACTATGATACCCCGGGGTACTGCCATAAGGTTCAACTGCGGGTGCATAACTCTCTCTTACATTATGCTAGCGGGAAGCCCGTTCAGATTCCACAGCTCCCCCCCCCCCATGCCCCACTGCACAGACCCCTCCCAAAGGGCATATACCAATCAACGGTATGATTCTGATTCGAGCTCACGTCATCCACCAGACCTATTGCAATGGTAGATAGGATAAACAATTCTGGGTGAGATATGAAGTACTAGCCTTATCGGGACAAAGGTAAAAAAGATCGCGTATGTAAAATGTTAATAATACTGGTCATGAAAGCATATGTGTCCTCAATGATGGCGATTGGTCGAGCGGTCTGGGAGGAATTTATCAAAGTACATACATGTAGATGAGCTGCTTATTGTGTAAATGGAGGCCCTTCCCCCAGCAGTGGCATAAGTAAATTGCAGGGCTGCAACCTTTCCTTTGCCCGATGCTAAATGAGCCACTTAATGCGAGGGTGCAGTCATCTGCTCTCCTCACCAGCTGTCCTCCTCGCGCTCGCCGCTCAGGCTGGCGAGGTCCAGCAGTTCCACCTCATCCAGCGTGAGGTTGCCAATGCTGCCGCTGCTGCTGCTGCCGCCGCTGCTACCGCCGCCGTCCTCGTCCTCGCTCCCGCTCTGCGCCGCCCTTGCGCCAGCAGGAAGAATGGGGGAGTTCTTTCCACCCTGTGGCTGGCCCTTCATCACGAGGCCGTCTCGCAGGGCCCGACGGCCCAACTCGGGGCTACCGAAGCGGGGGCTGCTCGTGAAGCCGCCACCAAAACAGTTGTCGGGGTCGGCCTGGACGCAGGGGGGGGGGGGGTCGGTTCAAGTAAAACAAACAGAATCGTTCTATTACTTAATACAGTCGAGTCATAGTGATTTCCTGCTCAGATGAGCACTGGAGGCGTTGCTTATCTTATGTTTGCAGCCCTGAGCGAGTGGTCGAAACTCCTCATTCCCATAACACAGGAAAGTCTATCATAAGACAACCACTGTTGACATCCTCACATAGTGATACTGTACTTGTTTTATCGACCACAGAGGGTAATGGGCTAAATCAACTTCCAACCAGGAAGTGAACTTGCAACATTCTGATAAAGGGTCACTCGCTCTCCCGCTCAACCACCAGGCCGGATATATATTTTTTAACTCCATCAAAACAAGAGCCAGAATTACCACGTGCCAGCTAACACAGTCGTGATCAAAGTTCCTACCTCTCTGTAGTTGACAGAATTCAACGTAAAACAGTCCGGGTTTATTTTAAGAAGATCCAGCACTCACTAATTCACTCCAGATACTCGCTCAATCCGGTGGTGAGTCGCCTCTTTATATGACTGCAATGTTTATTGCCCGTGAACTTTAATCATACTTCTGTACAGTTTCGTCTCATCCACACTATGTTCAAGCACCAAATTGCAGGTCAAAATACTTCTTAACCTGCTTCTTAACCTAGCCTTGCTCGACTTCCATCGTGTTTTCCAAGCTCTGATAACCGTGTTTAATCCAATAGACGTTAGCCATCAAAGCCTAATTGTCTCCCCAAATCCGAAAATTCCGAGCGAGACAACTGTCCCGCATATTCATGGAAAGAGACCAACTGCTTAACTCAAGAGTGGCGGTAATTTTATTGCTGTGACATAATGTGCACCTTATGAATTGCATTATTATTAAAAAGGTAAAAAGCTGTAGCCCTGGAATGTCTTGCTCACGCCACTGCCGGCAGAAAGAGGCTCAACTCAAACGTGGTCTACAGCGGTGCTTCCCCAACCTTTATTATTCCACAGCACCTCACTTTCACACCACCGTGGGACGCACGCAACATAAATAACCAACACCTCATCACCGATCTAACAGCAGCAGAGGTGCCCCTGGCTTCAACCCTCCCTCGAAGGCAGTGGACGGCACTCAACCGAATCCGCACGGACCACGGGCGAAGAAGCGCCCACCTGCATCACAAGTGGAAGTTGAGGGATGACTCCCAAGTGCGACTGAGGTCACGAGTCCCAAGCCCATGGCACGCATCGCATCAACCTGCCCGCTAACATCTGTTGCGGGAGGCACTCAAAAGTACTCCACTCGGCATCTCAGGGAGCCATCGAGTGGATCGCCTAACTACATTTCCCCGTCATGCAAAAGACGACTTTCAAATGAAAACATCGGTCCGACCGATTACATTGATTGGCACCGCCGATGAGCCTGGTGGGCTACGTACGGTGCGAAAGAAGTCCAACATACATAGATGATAAAAAACAAATTTACAGCAATGTACACAAAAAAACCCCGATGGTCCCCCAAACCCCCTTGGCAAATGAGAACGTGCGCTGGTTCAGCGAGTGGGAGTCAAGGGCTCTTTCCTTTACAATGCAGTTCTTTCACAGTACCAACACCGGCACACCGGTTGAAAATCACTGCCCTAGCAAACCCTTCTCTATTGCTCCTAGAGGGCAATTTTTGCCTACTCCTCCATGCCGGCCAAACGTTTCGGAAGAGACTGACCCTTTGTAAAAACAAAAACTTAAAAGAAGCAACGGCTCCCTCATATTAAATGATGAAGCGAAACCGAAGAAAGGTCTGCGATGGAACAAAACATATGGTCGACGATAGCGTTTACAAATCCACGAGGGCTGTGGTGATTTACAATTTTTATTCTTCACAAGAGACGTATGACAACTCGGCTATCGCGGGTGATCACAAATTCTACGCGAGCCACTAACGAATGCCCCGAGAAGCTGTCGCTCACTACAGGCGTGTTGTGTTGTGTGTGGTGTGTGTTGCTGCCACACCCGGGTAAAAAACAAAACAAAAATCTCGCTTTACAGGAGAGACGAGAGAGAGACAGAGAAGAAGGCGTTTTAAAGTTTAAGGCGATAGAAATAACGGCACCGCGTCACCTCTCAAACCGTCTCGAGCATTTGAGGCCACAACAACCACCCTCGGCTTTGAAGGCAGCTCTCGCTGGACATTACATCAACAACAACAACGTCTGGTTTTAGTCACCGCTGAGAGCAAAATAAGCAAGTGCCACCACGACCAGCTGGCTGCGGCGGTGGCTGCATCTGTAGGAGGGATGCTCACCACGTAGGCAAGCCCGGATTGCCGTGCCCAGCCGTTTCCAGGGCTCGGGTGGGTGGCCGGCAGCTCGCGGAGAGGGCCCTGGGGCGCAGCTTTGGTCGCCTTCGGGCCATGAAGGGGTCCCGAGCGACTGCGTAGCTGCTCGTTCTGCTGCTCCAGCTTGCGCACCAGCTCCTGGAGCTTCTTCACCTCCAGTTCGGCGCTGATGCCACCAGCACCACCAGTTCCACCAGCACCACCTCCTCCTCCTCCATAGCCACCACCACCAACAATTCCTCCATAACCACCACCTACTCCGCCGCCGCCGCCACCACCACCAACTCCACCGCCTCCTCCTCCTCTAAAGCCAGCAGCACCTCCGACGCCACCACCGCCAACGGCAACGCCACCACCACCAACTCCACCGCCGCTTCCTGCAGCCGCGGCCACGTATCCGAGCTCGCCTAACATGTCCAGGGCTGACATTCTTGTCGCCTCCACCAACGTAGCGCCTCTCGTCTTCCTCCTCCTCCTATTTACCGACAAAGCGACCCACCGTCGCTCTTAACAGGCGGCGAGACGACAGCGAGACGAGACAAATGATGCGAGAGGGGAGGGCATCCCGAGCTCGCCGTCTGCCGCCGCCGCTCCCAGACCGCCTAGCGGACGGACGCCATCTTTTTCGCGGCTCGCTCCTCGCTCCCTCCTCGTGCCGGCAGACCACGCCCACCCACCATCGGGTTGCATGGGGCAGGGTGGGTGTCAATCAAATATCTGACCACGCCCACCCACCATCGGGTTGCATGGGGCAGGGTGGGTGTCAATCAAATGTCTGACCACGCCCACCCACCATCGGGTTGCATGGGGCAGGGTGGGTGTCAATCAAATGTCTGACCACGCCCACCCACCATCGGGTTGCATGGGGCAGGGTGGGTGTCAATCAAATGTCTGACCACGCCCACCCACCAGGGGTTGCATGGGGCAGGGTGGGTGTCAATCAAATGTCTGACCACGCCCACCCACCATCGGGTTGCATGGGGCAGGGTGGGTGTCAATCAAATTTCTGACCACGCCCACCCACCATCGGGTTGCATGGGGCAGGGTGGGTGTCAATCAAATGTCTGACCACGCCTACCCACCATCGGGTTGCATGGGGCAGGGTGGGTGTCAATCAAATGTCTGACCACGCCCACCCACCATCGGGTTGCATAGGGCAGGGTGGGTGTCAATCAAATGTCTGACCACGCCTACCCACCATCGGGTTGCATGGGGCAGGGTGGGTGTCAATCAAATGTCTGACCACGCCTACCCACCATCGGGTTGCATGGAGCAGGGTGGGTGTCAATCAAATGTCTGACCACGCCCACCCACCATCGGGTTGCATGGGGCAGGGTGGTGTCAGTCACGCCCACCCACCATCGGGTTGCATCGGGCAGGGTGAGTGTCAATCAAATCTCTGACCACGCCCACCCACCCTCGGGTTGCATGGGGCAGGGTGGGTGTCAATCAAATGTCTGACCACGCCCACCCACCATCGGGTTGCATGGGGCGGGGGGGGTGTCAATCAAATGTCTGACCACGCCTACCCACCATCGGGTTGCATGGAACAGGGTGGGTGTCAATCAAATGTCTGACCACGCCCACCCACCATCGGGTTGCATGGGGCAGGGTGGGTGTCAATCAAATGTCTGACCACGCCCACCCACCATCGGGTTGCATGGGGCAGGGTGGGTGTCAATCACATCTCTGACCACGCCCACCTACCCTCGGGTTGCATGGGGCAGGGTGGGTGTCAATCAAATGTCTGACCACGCCCACCCACCATCGGGTTGCATGGGGCAGGGTGGGTGTCAATCAAATGTCGGACCACGCCCACCCACCATCGGGTTGCATGGGGCAGGGTGGTGTCAGTCACGCCCACCCACCATCGGGTTGCATGGGGCAGGGTGGGTGTCAATCAAATCTCTGACCACGCCCACCCACCCTCGGGTTGCATCGGGCAGGGTGGGCGTCAATCAAATGTCTGACCACGCCCACCCACCATCGGGTTGCATGGGGCAGGGTGGGTGTCAATCAAATCTCTGACCACGCCTACCCACCATCGGGTTGCATGGAGCAGGGTGGGTGTCAATCAAATGTCTGACCACGCCCACCCACCATCGGGTTGCATGGGGCAGGGTGGGTGTCAATCAAATGTCTGACCACGCCCACCCACAATCGGGTTGCATGGGGCAGGGTGGGTGTCAATCAAATGTCTGACCACGCCCACCCACCATCGGGTTGCATGGGGCAGGGTGGGTGTCAATCAAAGGTCTGACCACGCCCACCCACCATCGGGTTGCATGGGGCAGGGTGGGTGTCAATCAAATTTCTGACCACGCCTACCCACCATCGGGTTGCATGGAGCAGGGTGGGTGTCAATCAAATGTCTGACCACGCCCACCCACCATCGGGTTGCAATGGGCAGGGTGGTGTCAGTCACGCCCACCCACCATCGGGTTGCATCGGGCAGGGTGAGTGTCAATCAAATCTCTGACCACGCCCACCCACCCTCGGGTTGCATGGGGCAGGGTGGGTGTCAATCAAATGTCTGACCACGCCCACCCACCATCGGGTTGCATGGGGCGGGGGGGGTGTCAATCAAATGTCTGACCACGCCTACCCACCATCGGGTTGCATGGAACAGGGTGGGTGTCAATCAAATGTCTGACCACGCCCACCCACCATCGGGTTGCATGGGGCAGGGTGGGTGTCAATCAAATGTCTGACCACGCCCACCCACCATCGGGTTGCATGGGGCAGGGTGGGTGTCAATCACATCTCTGACCACGCCCACCTACCCTCGGGTTGCATGGGGCAGGGTGGGTGTCAATCAAATGTCTGACCACGCCCACCCACCATCGGGTTGCATGGGGCAGGGTGGGTGTCAATCAAATGTCGGACCACGCCCACCCACCATCGGGTTGCATGGGGCAGGGTGGTGTCAGTCACGCCCACCCACCATCGGGTTGCATGGGGCAGGGTGGGTGTCAATCAAATCTCTGACCACGCCCACCCACCCTCGGGTTGCATGGGGCAGGGTGGGCGTCAATCAAATGTCTGACCACGCCCACCCACCATCGGGTTGCATGGGGCAGGGTGGGTGTCAATCAAATCTCTGACCACGCCTACCCACCATCGGGTTGCATGGAGCAGGGTGGGTGTCAATCAAATGTCTGACCACGCCCACCCACCATCGGGTTGCATGGGGCAGGGTGGGTGTCAATCAAATGTCTGACCACGCCCACCCACAATCGGGTTGCATGGGGCAGGGTGGGTGTCAATCAAATGTCTGACCACGCCCACCCACCATCGGGTTGCATGGGGCAGGGTGGGTGTCAATCAAAGGTCTGACCACGCCCACCCACCATCGGGTTGCATGGGGCAGGGTGGGTGTCAATCAAATTTCTGACCACGCCCACCCACCATCGGGTTGCATGGGGCTGGGTGGGTGTCAATCAAATTTCTGACCACGCCCACCCACCATGGGTTGCATGGGGCAGGGTGGGTGTCAATCAAATGTCTGACCACGCCCACCCACCATCGGGTTGCATGGGGCAGGGTGGGTGTCAATCAAATTTCTGACCACGCCCACCCACCATCGGGTTGCATGGGGCAGGGTGGGTGTCAATCAAATGTCTGACCACGCCCACCCACCATCGGGTTGCATGGGCATGGTTGGTGTCAATCAAATGTCTGACCACGCCTACCCACCATCGGGTTGCATGGGGCAGGGTGGGTGTCAATCAAATGTCTGACCACGCCCACCCACCATCGGGTTGCATGGGGCAGGGTGGGTGTCAATCAAATGTCTGACCACGCCTACCCACCATCGGGTTGCATGGGGCAGGGTGGGTGTCAATCAAATATCTGACCACGCCTACCCACCATCGGGTTGCATGGAGCAGGGTGGGTGTCAATCAAATGTCTGACCACGCCCACCCACCATCGGGTTGCATGGGGCAGGGTGGGTGTCAATCAAATGTCTGACCACGCCCACCCACAATCGGGTTGCATGGGGCAGGGTGGGTGTCAATCAAATGTCTGACCACGCCCACCCACCATCGGGTTGCATGGGGCAGGGTGGGTGTCAATCAAAGGTCTGACCACGCCCACCCACCATCCGGTTGCATGGGGCATGGTGGGTGTCAATCAAATGTCTGACCACGCCCACCCACCATCGGGTTGCATGGGGCAGGGTGGGTGTCAATCAAATTTCTGACCACGCCCACCCACCATCGGGTTGCATGGGGCAGGGTGGGTGTCAATCAAATGTCTGACCACGCCCACCCACCATCGGGTTGCATGGGGCAGGGTGGGTGTCAAATCAAATTTCTGACCACGCCCACCCACCATCGGGTTGCATGGGGCAGGGTGGGTTTCAATCAAATGTCTGACCACGCCCACCCACCATCGGGTTGCATGGGCATGGTTGGTGTCAATCAAATGTCTGACCACGCCTACCCACCATCGGGTTGCATGGGGCAGGGTGGGTGTCAATCAAATGTCTGACCACGCCTACCCACCATCGGGTTGCATGGGGCAGGGTGGGTGTCAATCAAATGTCTGACCACGCCCACCCACCATCGGGTTGCATGGGGCAGGGTGGGTGTCAATCAAATGTCTGACCACGCCCACCCACAATCGGGTTGCATGGGGCAGGGTGGGTGTCAATCAAATATCTGACCACGCCTACCCACCATCGGGTTGCATGGGGCAGGGTGGGTGTCAATCAAATGTCTGACCACGCCCATTCCCCTTTGTTGTATGGGGCAAAGTGGGTGTCAATTAAATGTGTGAATACACCCATTCCTCGGTTTGCATGGGGCAGAGTGGGTGTCAATCAAATGTGTGACCACGCCCATTCAGCATTGGGTTGTTTCGGGCAGGGTGGGTGTCAATCAAATATGTGACCACGCCCACTCGCCATTGGGGTTGCATGGGGCAAGCTGGGTGTCAATCATATGTTTGACCACCGCCCACCTTTGTTGGTTGTATGGTGCAGGGTGGGTGTCAATCAAATATTTGACCACGCCCACCTTTGTTTGGTTGTATGGACCCAACAGAGTCGGCGAGATATAAAAATATCTAACCATACCTACGACCAAATTCAACTAATTATTTGGTGCTACTGTGTTGGCGGTGGTTCACAAGCACGAAGACTCAATGCATTCCTCAATAACGCTGCCTTTAAATGGAAAACAAGTACTTATTTTCAGACATTTGTCGAGAGAGAATAATAGACCACGCATAGCCATATTGGGCTGTTTCAGGACGCCGTGCTAAGCACGCCCATCCGTATTGAATCGCGGAACGCGTCATCAATTAAAGAACTAACGACGCCTACTCTCATTGGATAAAACTCCCTGTCAATCACAGCCTGACCACGCTCACCACCACCGGTTTGAACAGGAAAGTAAAGCTGTCATTCATACTTTAGTCACGCTCGCCACCATTGCACAAATAACAAAGGAAATCAGTCAACACATTCGTTAGTAACACCGTGGCCTTCGAAGTATATGACGGGCGACGTTTCGGGCAATGGTCCTTCTTCATAGCACACGAATAGAGAGGCCAGAGAGATAGAGTGGAAAAGAGTTGGAGACCGCACTTGACATCACGGGACATGATGGGAATTCAATATTCGAAAAATGTTTCCTAACGAACTGTTCCTGTTCTAATTGGTATATAAACAGCTACCTATTCGTAACTGT